GTATGTGACGATACCTGTTTGTTGCTGGTGACCATGCTATATCTGGTCAGTGACGATACCGGTTTGTTGCTGGTGACCATGCTATATCTGGTCAGTGACGATACCGGTTTGTTGCTGGCGACGATGCTATATCTGGTGAGTGACGATACCGGTTTGTTGCTGGCGACCATGCTATATCTAGTATGTGACGATACCTGTTTGTTGCTGGTTACCATGCTATATCTAGTATGTGACGATACCTGTTTGTTGCTGGTGACCATGCTATATCTGGTCAGTGACCTGTTTGTTGCTGGTGACCATGCTATATCTGGTCAGTGACGATACCAGTTTGTTGCTGGTGACCATGCTATATCTGGTCAGTGACGATACCGGTTTGTTGCTGGTGACCATGCTATATCTGGTCAGTGACGATACCGGTTTGTAGCTGGCGATCATGCTATATCTGGTCTGTGACGATACCGGTTTGTTGCTGGCGACCATGCTATATCTGGTCAGTGACGATACCGGTTTGTTGCTGGCGACCATGCTTTATCTGGTCAGTGACGATACCAGTTTGTTGCTGGTGACCATGCTATATCTGGTCAGTGACGATACCGGTTTGTTGCTGGTGACCATGCTATATCTGGTCAGTGACGATACCGGTTTGTTGCTGGTGACCATGCTATATCTGGTAAGTGACGATACCTGTTTGTTGCTGGTGACCATGCTATATCTGGTCAGTGACGATACCGGTTTGTTGCTGGCGACCATGCTATATCTGGTCAGTGACGATACCAGTTTGTTGCTGGTGACCATGCTATATCTAGTAAGTGACTGAACTTGCCTAGCTGTAGTAGGTACTGAGGGCAATCTCATCCTACCGGGCACCCATTTTACTGCTAGACTTGACCGAAACATTTAGAAAGGGTCTGCTGGCGTGATATAGCTCTGATATTACTGACTGGTATAAAACAACGATCATGCTATCGAAACGTAAACTGTGGCATACGTTCATGCTGTGGAAATGTAACCTGTCATACGCTCATGTTATCGAAATGTAAACTGTCATACGCTCATGCTATCGATATGTAAACTGTCATACGTTCATGTTATCGATATGTAAACTGTCATACTCTCATGCTATCACTATGTAAACTGTCATACGTTCATGCTATCGAAATGTAAACTGTCATACGCTCATGCTATCGAAATGTAAACTGTCATACGCTCATGTTATCGAAATGTAAACTGTCATACGCTCATGCTATCGAAATGTAAACTGTCATACGTTCATGTTATCAATATGTAAACTGTCATACGCTCATGTTATCGATATGTAAACTGTCATACGTTCATGCTATCGAAATGTAAACTGTCATACGTTCATGCTATCGAAATGTTAACTGTCATACGCTCATGCTATCGCTATGTAAACTGCCATACGTTCATGCTGTCGAAATGTAAAATGTCATACGCTCATGCTATCGAAATGTAAACTGTCATACGCTCATGTTATCGATATGTAAACTGTCATACGCTCATGTTATCGATATGTAAACTGTCATACTCTCATGCTATCGCTATGTAAACTGTCATACGTTCATGCTATCGAAATGTAAACTGTCATACGCTCATGCTATCGAAATGTAAACTTCCATACGCTCATGTTATCGAAATGTAAACTGTCATACGCTCATGCTATCGAAATGTAAACTGTCATACGTTCATGTTATCGATATGTAAACTGTCATACGCTCATGTTATCGATATGTAAACTGTCATACGTTCATGATATCGATATGTAAACTCCTGTCATAAACTGTCATACGTTCATGCTATCGAAATGTAAACTGTCATACGCTCATGCTATCGAAATGTTAACTGTCATACGCTCATGTTATCGATATGTAAACTGTCATACGCTCTTGTTATCAATATGTAAACTGTCATACGTTCATGCTATCGAAATGTAAACTGTCATACGTTCATGCTATCGAAATGTAAACTGTCATACGCTCATGTTATCGAAATGTAAACGGTCATACGCTCATGTTATCGATATGTAAACTGTCATACTCTCATGATATCGCTATGTAAACTGTCATACGTTCATTCTATCGAAATGTAAACTGTCATACACTCATGCTATCAAAATGTAAACTGTCATACGCTCATGTTATCGATATGTAAACTCTCATACGTTCATGCTATCGATATGTAAACTGTCATACGTTCATGCTATCGAAATGTAAACTGTCATACGCTCATGCTATCGATATGTAAACTGTCATACGCTGATGCTATCGATATGTAAACTGTCATACGCTCATGTTATCGATATGTAAACTGTCATACGTTCATGCTATCGAAATGTAAATTGTCATACGTTCATGCTATCGCTATGTAAACTGTCATACGCTCATGTTATCGATATGTAAACTGTCATACGCTCATGCTATCGATATGTAAACTGTCATACGCTCATGCTATCGATATGTAAACTGTCATACGCTCATGCTATCGATATGTAAACTGTCATACGTTCATGCTATCGAAATGTAAACTGTCATACGCTCATGTTATCGAAATGTAAACTGCCGTACGCTCATGTTATCGAAATGTAAACTGTCATACGCTCATGCTATCGAAATGTAAACTGTCATACGCTCATGCTATCGAAATGTAAACTGTCATACGCTCATGTTATCGATATGTGAACTGTCATACGTTCATGCTATCGAAATGTAAACTGTCATACGCTCATGTTATCGCTATGTAAACTGTCATACGCTCATGTTATCGATATGTAAACTGTCATACGTTCATGTTATCGAAATGTAAACTGTGAACAATCTCCATTCTTGGTACGAAATGCGTAGGTAAAATATCCAAATCATCATCATCATCATTAGAATCGATACCATAGTTGTTCCATGAGTAGAATTGATCATGCGGTGTCAGCATAACATGATACAACCCCACACAATCCAAAAATCATATAAATCTGGACATTGAGCCCTAAACCATCTGGCCATACCTCAGTCAGAAGAAGGACACGGTATACAGGGCAATCACCATTCCACTTAGATTTACAAGTGTCACAAACGTAGTCTATTAGCCATGGCCTTAGCGATCATAGCAACTGACCTAAATCTATGCTTAAGTGTGGGAGTTACGATAGTCTAAGCGATACGATCGCTTTTGTGGAAAGGGTCCAGTTGAATGATGACAGTTCTCATGGCAACTAGCCAGACAGGACGGTGGTGACCGGATATCAGCAGTGAGGCTTGTGGACTTCAGTCAGTGCATGGACAGTGCATTATCTGACTGTTCATACAGTCATACAGTGATGTGTTCATGCACCGGATATCCCTCATCAGAGACTGATACACTAGTTGTTGCGATGCTCGACGAAGGAATGAACTTTATCTCTTGCAACTGATGGAATATTCTGAATCAAAATCTATTATGCATTTTCTGCTGATCCAGTTATCAAAACAAAATATCAATCTGAAGTATATTTATAATGGATTTATATAAGGGTAGATATCGAATGTGATGGAGAGGTAGAGAAAAAATTTGAATAATTTACTGAAGTTTATTAGTGGGAGGAGTCGGTAGCCTAGTGGTTAAAGTGTTCGCTCTTCACGCCGAAGAACTGGGTTCGATTCCCAACATGGGTACAGAGTGTGAAGCCCATTTCTGGTGTCCCCCGACGTGATATTGCTGGAATATTGCTTAAAGCCAGGGTGTCGGTGTACAAACAACCTTAACGCTACGGTGATCGTAAGTCCCATACATCAACATAGACTTACGATAGCCTTAGCTAAGGTTGTTTTGTACAATGTCACCCTGACCCAGTGTGGTAGTGGGTAAGATCTGGGTGGAATGAGGTCTCTTGTCTAAAGAATTATGATCTTTTATCATTATCATTACACTGACAGGGGTTCAAAAATCCCATCGCCCGACGCCCGCGACATGTCAGTTTTCATTTCGGGCGATCAAATAATGGTATTTTACTTGTCCGTGGGCTACTAGAAAATTTCTGCTTACGGTTTCAAACAGCAAATAAACTTTGATTTCATTTCATATCTGCTCAAAATGTAACTATTAAAATTTGAAACGATACGAGAACGAAATGAGTTATCTTGTGATTACACAATGCCATTTAGAAAGTGGTCAAATGTAACATATGTTATATTTGGGATTACACTTTCTTAGTAAAGTACAAATTCTAGTACTTTTTATTTATTTATTTTTTTATCTTCCTTTGCTATTTATCACTTCTCGATAAACATTAACATCAAATACCATGTTGATTTATTCTTTCATAACTACATCATCATGATTATGTTATAAAAAACAGGGCAAGTGGAAAATTAGTCAAGCCAAGTTACTTTCTTAAAGTCACTTACCCTGTGGCAAGTGGCGTTTAACAAAAAATTAACCCCTGACTACACAGATGTACCATAGTAAACATACGTACATTGGTTAATAAATAAGAAGACTATTTCTACAGCCGCGATAATCAAGAACATCTTTTGAAAAATTTAAGCAAAGCCAGTTTAGAGCAGGTCTTAGTTGACATTTATTTATTCCGTTCCTCAATTTCAAGTGCTCACTCGAAAATACACATTCGTGAGTTATCAATTTGTTTGTTTGTTGTTTAAAGCCCCACTCCCAGTATCCCAGCTATACGGCTGCCGTATGTAAATAACTGAGACTGGACCAGTCAATCCAGTGACCGATATCCTAAGTATCGATCTACACAATTGGGGTACGATGACATGTGCTAAATAAGTCAGCGAGCCTGACCACTCGATCCAGTTAGTCGCCACTTACGACAAGCATGGGTTATTGAAGATCAGTTCTGTCCCAGATCTTCACTCTTACTGGGGTAGGAGATGATGAATTATCATTATTTGTTTGAGTGGTGACAGTGGCCCACGAGTGTGGCACTGGTTGTTTATGTTGGTGCATGTTTAGGAAAGTGACCTGTTTGTTTTGTGTATGTATTTCAGTTTATTGCAAGAAATGAAAGTCGCCAAGAAGCCGGAAAGAGACCGTTGGAAACTCCCAGGGAGAGGTCGATTCTCCACGGAAAAGCTTCTCCCGTAAGGTTGTGAATTATGATGATTATTGGTCAAATGGTTAAATGATTGTAGGTAAATGGCTAACATATCAAAGAAGACACTTTTTTTTAATTTGCTGAAGGGATAGTACTGACATATGTGACATAATATGATGGATTTCAGCTTCTTCTTTATTGTAAACATAACGTAATTCACCTGACAAAGGGACAAGAACATAGCCCAGAAACGCTGTTTACAATATAGAAGAAGTTGACCTCCGTAATATTTTGTCTCATACTAGAATACCAACTTCTATTTGTCTTTCAAGTACCTTTACTGACATAGTTTTTCATGTCCTGAGAGGGTAATACGGGCATCATCTTCATGTCCTGAGTAGATCATCTTCATGTCCTGAGGAGATCATTTTCATCTCCTCAGGAGATAATACAGGCATCATTTTCATGTCCTGAGGAGATCATTTTCATCTCCTCAGGAGATAATACAGGCATCATTTTCATGTCCTGAGGAGATCATTTTCATGTCCTGAGGAGATAATTTTCATGTCCTTAGGAGATAATACAGGCATCATTTTCATGTCCCGAGGAGATCATTTTCATGTCCTGAGGAGATCATTATCATGTCCTGAGAGGATAATACGGGCATCATTTTCATGTTCTGGGGAGGTAATAGGGAAATAATTCAGTGTCATCTGCATATTGACCAATAACATGTTCGATGTCGTTTAAAACAATTCCTTTATTCTGTGGTTGTCTCTGATCATTATTCCTAGTATTTCTGCTACCAATAAGAATAAATATGGAGATATGGGATCATCCTGTCTACATCCCCTTTCATTATCGAAAAACGTGGACAAGTGACCATTCTGTATCATACACGAGGATGCATTAGAAATCAATATGTTAACCCATCTTTGAATGTTACTTCCAAAACCAAACTTGTCTAGGACCATCTTAATGAATAATTTTGACACGGTGTCGAAAGCTTTTTCAAAGTCAATTAAGATTAGTAAACCTTTTATGTTTTGCCTTTTAATTTCAAACATAATGTCATAAAGAAGTCTAATGTTTTCCGTAATGCATCTTCCTGGAATGAATCCTGTTTGATTTTCGTTTATAAGCAAAACAACCTTAACGCTACGGTGATCGTAAGTCCCATACATCAACATAGACTTACGATAGCCTTAGCTAAGGTTGTTTTATACAATGTCACCCTGACCCAGTGTGGTAGTGGGTAAGATCTGGGTGGAATGAGGTCTCTTGTCTAAAGAATTATGATCTTTTATCATTACCATTCTTACGACAACACTGACAGGGGTTCAAAAATCCCATCGCCCGATGCCCGCGACATGTCAGTTTTCATTTCGGGCGATCAAATAATGGTATTTTACTTGTCCGTGGGCTACTCGAAAATTTCTGCTTACGGTTTCAAACTGCAAATAAACTTTGATTTCATTTCATATCTGCTCAAAATGTAACTATTAAAATTAGAAACGATACGAGAACGAAATGAGTTATCTTGTGATTACACAATGCCATTTAGAAAGTGGTCAAATGTAACATATGTTATATTTGGGATTACACTTTCTTAGTAAAGTACAAATTCTAGTACTTTTTAATTTATTTATTTTTTTATCTTCCTTTGCTATTTATCACTTCTCGATAAACATTAACATCAAATACCATGTTGATTTATTCTTTCATAACTACATCATCATGATTATGTTATAAAAATCAGGGCAAGTGGAAAATTAGTCAAGCCAAGTTACTTTCTTAAAGTCACTTACCCTGTGGCAAGTGGCGTTTAACAAAAAAATTACCCCCGACTACACAGATGTACCATAGTGAACATACGTACATTGGTTAATAAATAAGAAGACTATTTCTACAGCCGCGATAATCAAGAACATCTTTTGAAAAATTTAAGCAAAGCCAGTTTAGAGCAGGTCTTAGTTGAGATTTATTTATTCCGTTCCTCAATTTCAAGTGCTCACTCGAAAATACACATTCGTGAGTTATCAATTTGTTTGTTTGTTGTTTAAAGCCCGACTCCCAGTATCCCAGCTATACGGCTGCCGTATGTAAATAACTGAGACTGGACCAGTCAATCCAGTGACCGATATCCTAAGAATCGATCTACACAATTGGGGTACGATGACATGTGCTAAATAAGTCAGCGAGCCTGACCACTCGATCCAGTTAGTCGCCACTTACGACAAGCATGGGTTATTGAAGATCAGTTCTGTCCCAGATCTTCACTGTTACTGGGGTAGGAGATGATGAATTATCATTATTTGTTTGAGTAGTGACAGTGGCCCACGAGTGTGGCACTGGTTGTTTATGTTGGTGCATGTTTAGGAAAGTGACCTATTTGTTTTGTGTATGTATTTCAGTTTATTGCAAGAAATGAAAGTCGCCAAGAAGCCGGAAAGAGACCGTTGGAAACTCCCAGGGAGAGGTCGATTCTCCACGGAAAAGCTTCTCCCGTAAGGCTGCGAATTATGATGATTATTGGTCAAATGGTTAAATGATTGTAGGTAAATGGCTAACATATCAAAGAAGACACTTTTATTAATTTGCTGAAGGGATAGTACTGACATATGTGACATAATATGATGGATTTCAGCTTCTTCTTTATTGTAAACATAACGTAATTCACCTGACAAAGGGACAAGAACATAGCCCAGAAACGCTGTTTACAATATAGAAGAAGTTGACCTCCGTAATATTTTGTCTCATACTAGAATACCAACTTCTATTTGTCTTTCAAGTACCTTTACTGACATAGTTTTTCATGTCCTGAGAGGGTAATACGGGCATCATCTTCATGTCCTGAGTAGATCATCTTCATGTCCTGAGGAGATCATTTTCATCTCCTCAGGAGATAATGCAGGCATCATTTTCATGTCCTGAGGAGATCATTTTCATGTCCTGAGGAGATCATTTTCATGTCCCTAGGAGATAATACAAGCATCATTTTCATGTCCCGAGGAGATCATTTTCATGTCCTGAGGAGATCATTTTCATGTCCCTAGGAGATAATACAAGCATCATTTTCATGTCCTGAGGAGATCATTTTCATGTCCTGAGGAGATCATTATCATGTCCTGAGAGGATAATACGGGCATCATTTTCATGTTCTGGGGAGGTAATAGGGACATAATTTTCATGCTCTAAGGAGAGCATATTTTTTATGCCTAGAAGAGAAAATACGGACATAGTTTTTCATGTCCTGAGAGGGTAATATGGGCATCAGTTGCACATTCTGAAAAGATAATATGGGCATCACTTTTCATGTAATGGGCGTATATAATACGGGCATCATCATTTGTTCTTTAGAGATAATACAGATATCATTGTTAATGTCCTGAAGAGGTAATAGGGGCATCATTTTTATGTTCTAATGAAATAATATATCATTTTTCCATGCCCCTGAGGAAAGAATATGCACACAGTTTGGGCCAGCTTGAGCGGCAAGGTAATTAGTGACGTCATTTGATTGTAATGTGATGGTACCGACCAAGTGACAATGGTCTAAAGAGGATTATGATGCCGTTTCATTGTACCGATATCTTTCAGAAGATATTGTTTAATCTCTCCGCACTATATCGTAAGTGGAAGCCAGTTTTGGATGACAAAATGCTAGGAGGGCTGAAACCAGTCGAACCAAAACAACTTAAATACGTCACTTCCGACATCGATGGTGTTTCTCCCCACCATCAAACATTGGTGTATTATTTCTTTTTCCTGACAGTTTATTATTTGGACCTGTGAAGATCCGGGTTAGAATTGGCCGTCAGCAAACCATGCTTCCCGTAAGAGGCGACTAACGGGATCGGGTGGTAGGCTCGAAGACCTGATTGATGCATGTCATCGTATCCCAACTGCGTAGATCGATGCTCATGCTGTTGATCACTGGATTGTCTGGTCAAAACTCGAGTGCGGCGTTAAACAATAAACAAACAATAACTTTACTGTTTGATGTTGTTGACTGTATATCATAATCTCATTATAGTTTATCATAATCTCACACGGGAACGCCTCCTGTTTCCTGCAATATAATTCTTTACCACATTGGGGAGGATAGTGCCAAAGGCATCCTTGCTCTGTTGAACATATATGATCATTAATCAAGCACCCAATACCCCCAAGTACGAGAATAGTACATGTTGTATGATCCGCCTATTAAAATGGTAACTGTAACATATTTTACTCTGATAAAAACAAAACCAGAAATTGATATAAAGTAACACTTTTGTAATCTGAGAGGAATACACATAACGATGTACATATGTGTGGTCACCATGACTATGTGGTCTAGTTCTCAAATATTGTTTGTTTGGGTTAAAAAAAACACTTTGCGACCCCATCAGTACATCGCGCGTCAGCTTGGTTACTGCCACTGCGCCATTAGTAGACTGATCCGAAACACCAACAAACAGGCACAATCAAGGATCGCCAAGGCCAGGGCAACCCAGGCAGACCACTCCAGCGGAAGGTCGAAATCTGACCCGTTACGTGAGGCGTGGACCCTTCGCTTTTAAAGAAATTCTTGGTGCCAAACAGACATGTCAACCAAGACCGTTCCGAGGGATTATCCGGCGTCAAACTCTTATGAACAGGCAACGTTTGCCGTGGTGCTGTGCCCGACGGCGCTGGAATCTTCGCTTCATGTCACGGATGGTCGTCTGAGAGATTTGGAGGCGAATAACACTGTTATGTGCCGAGACAATTTAACCCACTGTTCCCTTTGATGGAGGCTCAGTTATGTTGTGGGGATGTGTCTCTCATAACTGTAAGTTGGCATTGGTGACAGCTCGGGGAAATATTAATGACCAGCGCTACATCACTGACATTCAAATTACTGTGCCTCATTTTGATAACTACCATTGGCTCCTCGCCCCATATTCATAGACGACAACGCTAGTACACTTCATTCCCGTGTTGTTAAAGAGGTCCTGCTACTGAAACTCTCTCTTGGCCTGCATGGAGCCCTGATCTGAACCCCATCGAGTACATCTGGGACATTCTTGGTCGTCGTTTGCAGGCAAGGGTCCCCCCGGTACAGACTGTTGGTGTATTGGGCCAATTGCTTGCATTTCATGACGAGTGGCGGGAATTGCCTCGGGAACGTATCCGCAGGCTCAAGAGTGAAGGCTGCCATCCAATCACATGGCGGACACACGAGAGACTGATGTCAAACACACCATTATATATCAAGGGGCGTACACAGAGAGCGATATCCGGCATTATCTCACCATGTTTCGTGTAAGGACAATTAACTGTTTTCCACAAAAACAACGGCTTTGGCAGTTCTCACAGAGCATGCCAATTAACATATTGCCTACATTTTGTTGTTTTCTGGAGTCAGTTATTCAGTCTTCCATTAAATAATCAGGAATCATTGCCATTCTAAAAGTATGAAGCTTTATGTTCACATATATCACTGTTCTAAAATAGGGTAGATGGATGTTTGCTTAAATAAGGTTCACGTGTATAATACATCTCTAGCAGTTCAATTCGATATATTTTGACAGCAAACGTCATTAAGACAGTTCTCTTGTTTGATTCCCGTTAATCATGCCGTGGTGGATGTGTATTGCCCGCAAACGCATCCCAAAATGTGTTTGCAAAGGTTTTGTCATAAAAAAGACAAAGATACTTGAAAAGTGAATGCAGAATAATGTACGTGCAATGTGTCGGGAAAATGAGTACAGACAATAAAAGGACAAACAGAATTCATCATTTCATTTCGAAATGTATGACGTAAGCGAAGATAAAAATTGCCAAGATTGAATGCAACTGACCAAAATATAGCCATTGGACGTTTGGAAGCATGGGAGTCCCGGTCTGCCGTTTCAAGAAACTTCAACGTCCACAGCACAATATCTCGATTATGGCATCGATATGCCCGCTTCAGCTCAAGCAAAAGATCGTCCCAGAAGTAGAAGGCCAAGAGTGACCACTCCGAGACCGAGTCATACGGGGGTTTCACGTCACAAATTTGCAGCAGCAACGGACACTGCAGGACAGGTGCCTGGTCTTCGAAGAATTTCCGACCAAACATCAGAAATCGTCGGAGAGAAGTGGGAATTCGAGCATATCGACAAAACGTTGGACCTGTCCTGACACGACTACACCGACAATGACGTGTCCAATGGTGCAACAGGGTACAGGCATGGAACCTGGGGAACTGACGACGCAAAGACGGGATGGGAGGCAACGTGTAGACAGATGTTGTTTGAGTTAGCGTCATGGTGTGGAGAGCCATGACCTACGAGGGTAGATCAGAGCTAATGGTGGTTCAAGGCTATCTTACAGCAAATCGCTATACCGACCAAGTCCTGCAATGCCACCTCCTCCGACTTTTTAACCGCCAGGGGAGCTGTTTCAACACGACAACGCTCGACCCACTCACAGCTTATGTAACAGGTGCTTGCTTGTCTCGCCACTGCAAACGTCAATGTCCTTCCTTTCCTGGCCTTCCAAATCGCTTGATCTGAAACCGATCGAGAATCTGTGGGACGAAATTGATCGTCCCCAGACACTTGCAGAACTTGCCGACGCGTTGCAGGTGGAATGGTAAAGAATTCCCCTCCATGCCCTCGAAACCCGACGATTTGTGCAGTCCTTCCAAGGCGGTGTCGAGCAGTGACGGCTTCAAGGGGTGGTGTCGTGAAGTACTGGCCTGAACGTCCCCTTGAACACATGTGCAGTGAGTGAACTGAATTATTGCTGACAATGACAGCAATGCATATGTTCACCTCTGTGTCCAATTTCATTCATCTATGTTCAAGCTTAATTGACTTATATGTACGTTTAATACATTTCCTTATTTTTTACCTATGCGTTTTTATTTGGAGAGTGTATATAATGCACGCCTTACACAACATAATAGGCATTTGTTTATGAATCACTCTTAATAACTGATATTGCCACGTGTGGAAAAAAAGTCATCACCAACCTATGACACGTCACATGTATTATCTCCCCAGAACATGAAAGTTGATGCCCGTATTATCTCCTGGTGACATGAAAAATGATGCCTGTATTATCTCCTCATGACATGAAAAATGATGCCCGTATTATCTCCTCAGTACATAAAAAATGATCCCCATGTTACCCTCTCAGGACATGAAAAAATATGTCCTTATCATCCAAACAGAAAATGAAAAATGACGACCGTACTCCCTCTCAGGACATGAAAGGTATTGCACGTACTACCACTTCAGGACATGAAAAGCATGCCTGTAGTACCATCTCAGGGCATGAAAATCATGCCCACAGTACCATCTCAGGACATGAAAATCATGCCTGTAGTACCATCTCAGGACATGAAAATCATGCCTGTAGTACCATCTCAGGACATGAAAATCATGCCTGTAGTACCATCTCAGGACATGAAAAAATATGTCCTTATCATCCAATCAGAAAATGAAAAATGACGACCGTATTCCCGCTCGGGACATGAAAGGTATTGCACGTA